TTACGACAACATTAAATGTTGTCGTAATCATTCATATCATTCGACATAGTTGACTTTTACCCATCGATCACCGAACACCTACTGGACAAATGCCTAGCGTGGGCAAAACAATACACAGCAATCACAGAAAAAGACCACACCATTATAAAACACCCAAGAAAATCACTTCTTTTCCACCAAAACAAATCATGGTCCAAACGCAACGCTACCAACACGTTTGATGTAACCATGGGCAGCTATGATGAAGCGGAAGTTTGCGAGCTTGTAGGGCTATTCTTACTCGACCAACTACAGCAGCGGTACGGAAGCAACGTCGGCTTATACCGCGACGATGGCCTTGCAGTCATAAGTACGAAATCTGGAAGACTCTGCGACAAAGAAAGAAAAACCCTCTCACACCTATTTGACGAGCTTGGACTAAAAATCACAGCGATGACAAACCATGAACGCACAAACTTCCTTGACGTAACATTTGACCTTAGCAACGACACCTACAAACCATATAGAAAACCCAACGACGAGCCCCTCTACATTCACAGATCTTCCAACCACCCACCATCAGTATTACGCCAACTACCCACATCCATCAACAACCGAATTAACACACTCTCATCTGACAAAGACACCTTCGAAAATGCCGCACCAATTTACAACCAAGCTCTTAAACAAAGCAACTTCACCACCCAACTCACCTTTAATCCATCAAACATCAATGTAAACACCACGTACAACAGAAAACGTAACGTCACTTGGTTTAACCCACCATACAGCAAAACGTAAAACTCACATCGCCCATGACTTCCTACAACTTATCGACAAACATTTCCCACCAAATACTATACTCTCCAAGATATTCAACCGACACACAATACGCGTAAGCTACAGCTGCGGCGAAAACATGAAAACTTTCATAACCAGACACAACAAGACTATTTTAAAAAGACTTAACCCAGACACAACCCAGAACAAGAACAACCCACCTAAGAAATGTAACTGCAGACAGAAACATCTATGCCCGACAAATGGAAATTGCCTGAAACCCAACGTGATTTACAAAGCCGACGTGACAACGACTGACAACAACGAAACAAAAACTTACATAGGTGTTACTGCATGCGCATTTAAGACACGATATCGAAGCCACATTAAATCAATTACGAACATTAAATACCGCAACGAGACAGAACTTTCTAAATACACGTGGACACTGAAAGAAAACAAACGTAACTACAACATTAAATGGGACTTCATCAAACAACTTCCACGTCCGAACAAAAACCAAAGAACCTGCCGTCTTTGCCTTGAAGAAAGGCTACTTATCCTGAAAGGACGTAAAAAGAACATTTTAAATAAACGTTCCGATATGTTTAGTGCATGCCGTCATGTAACTTAACACCTTTAGTCGATGTATATAGTCAGCAAATATAATATTATCTGTCAGTTGCCTGAAGATCGCCCTACGGCGTGAAACTCTGAGTAGCGACAGCAAACAATTGTCCATTTTATTTTATTTTAGTTCATTTATCTTACGCTCTTCTAATATATAGAATATTGAGCGCTCTTTTATCCAGGAATATTATCCATAATAATATATAACTTATATATATATATATGTTTTTTTCTTATATATATATAATATATATATGTTTATCGAGTATAATAGAACATATATAACGATATAAAACAAATATATTTACTATACATACATAATACTTTCATGGATGAAAGTCCAAAGTCTAATTTTTATGCATATAATTAAAATTCCAAAGTCCAAATTTATAATGATAAAAACTTGTCTTTATAATTAACATCAACATTAAGTCCATATCAATAAAACCTGAAAAGATACTTTATGCTAAATATATGTGTAATAATGTTAATGAATAAAAAAACTTAAAATTTTTTACCAATAAGTCTAGATAAAATTAATCACAAACACCATTTTTACTAGATTGATTCAAATCCATTGTTGCTTTGTGCAAACAAAAAAGAAATACACTATGAAGAAGAGCTATAGTGAAAAGTTATTGTCTATAAAAATACCAAAAAATTTCACAATTTGAAAAATGAATTAATTCTACTTTTGAAAGACATCTTCTCTCTATGAGTGAATGAATAATTATGATACAAGTGGATACATAAAATTGCACAAATATAGAGATAATTGTAAGAAAATGAAATTTATTGTAAAAAATTGACTAGAGTTCTCACTTAATCGCACTAGATTCATCAAATAAACCACAAGGTACACCAAATTTTGGTTTTACAAATATATCATTTTTATCTGTTTTTTCTAATACATTAATTTTATCAAGTAATTTCTCAAAATTTTCTTTTTCCCTTTTTTTATCATATCATTGATTTCTTTTATTTTTTTTTTTTAAGGCGAAACGTTTGTTGTTTTTAAAAATAAAGATAATTCGAGTTGTCTTGTTGTTATATCACTATCTTTATTCATTTTTTCTTTTTTTTTTGTATTTCCTTTCTGTAACAACAAGTTACAACAAAAGTTGGAATGAAAAGAAATACAACCTGATTTGAGTTTTTGTTAATAACATAACTTACTGCTGTATAGTTTCTTTCTTTATTAATAAAATCAGTTCTTTTTCAATGTTTTTTCATAATTCTTTCTTTTCTTTACAGCAAGTTTATGAATTAAATGAAGATATGATCTTCACACTTTGCTGGACAATTCAAGGAATTGTCTCAAGAACCTGAAAAATTCAGGTGACACGACGGGATTGGAACCCATGACCTCTGCGGTGCCGGTGCAGTGATCCGACTAACTGAGCTATGAAGTCACACAGTGGTGAGCAGGTCAATTTTGTTGGGCTGATGTTTTCTCCGGATTTTAAGTGATTTTTATCGAGCTTTCGACCAGGGGCGGATTTAAGGGTCATCAAATCCATCACGCGACGAACGTATGAAATGGTGATTAATTATTCATGCAACATACTAAAATTAATAAAAATTAAGTCAACTATCACATATCGTAAGCCAAACAAAAGCATAACGATCAGAATTAATTAATGGCCTGAGTGTACAGCCGTTTTTTTAAGGAAAGCTATGTAATTAGCCCCAAATATGATCTCAAGCCCACAGATCCATCAAAAAGTCAAATCTTAGTCTTCTCATTGGTCAATTCGCCTATTGCCTTGGAAACTTGCAGTTTTGATGTATCTGTGGGGAGGCCTGATGGATTGACGACTTTCAAGGGCTCTAACAATCATATTTTATATTATCGACTAGTATTTTTACTTTGTTATTTTACACTATTTGATACTTTGACTGATTCACAGCGGGGGGGTCATTTATTTTGAAGGTCTTATCTTTCGCTACATCGCAAAATTGCAATCACGCTTTGTTTAAAAAAGTTTCAGTTGTATCTGATATGGATTACGGTGTTGTTCAAGCTGCCTTTGCGGCAGATGATTGTAAAATTTTGGCAGGTTTTTGTTGATCTTGCCAGGCAACTAAATGAGCAAGATGAGATATCGCTTGAGCAACTATTGGGTGCCATAAGTAGCTCGTCAAACAGCATTAGCAGAAATTATTGCGCGGAAACTTATATTCCTTTGGCTGTTCGAAATCAAAAGGAAAAATCGTGCATAGCTTTGAGGTAAACTATATATTTTGTACAATTTTTCTCATATTTCACTAACAATATGTAAGAATGTAAATATGCATACAAACGGTATTGATGACTTGCCTTGTTTACGTTCGCACGGTTTGCTGGCAGGCAGATAAATCTCAAGGAAGTTAAGCATTTTGCTTAATTGTGCTGTGTTTCCAAAACGAAAGCACTATACAAAGTCTGCTTGCTATAAGTTGCCAGCAAAACGTCTGGTTGTATATTACAGGTCACTTGTGTTGTGTAAATCTCATCAACCTTTCAACTTGCTGATTTTTGTGGTTTTAGACTCGCATTTTAAAACTTTATGAATGTACAGTGAGATAAACTTGTCAAATTTTCAGTTCAACCTGCTTGTTGATTATTCCTTGATTCTTTATAATTCTACTATTAACTATCCTATTTGAATTACTTATATTCATTCCCTGCTTATAGTTGTCAGCACTATTACACATTTCATATAGAGAATGTAGATTTTGTCAATATAAAAACATAAAGTAAATATCATATTTACGCGAGATTTTATTGTCAGTTAGCTATTTTATTACTCAATAAAACTAAATAAGATTATAACATGATTATATAATACATTTATCAAATAATGTCATATATAGAACATTTTGGAACCAAACCCAAAAATTCTTTCATCATCAGCTTCATGTATTTTCTTAGATCAGAAGCTTCAGGGAATTGCTTGTACAGTTCCGTGTCTTTGTCTCTGCTTGGTGATGATAGATTGGTTCCAACTTTAAGAATCTTAACCTCACTTGAGCTTTTCCTGAATGCTCATTTTACTGTGAGCATCCCTGCTTTTGTCTGCCATTGAAGAGCATCCTGATTTTTTAAGGGAAGTATAAAAATCTTTTACCTTTATCTGTCTCTGTTGAGTCCTTAGATACCGGTGCTAGTAAGGAAAATTTAGTGAAGAAGGAGGCTGTTTTAATTGCAATGATGGTAAATGGTCATCATTTCTTTGTATTTTGGTCTGTCTTCAGTTTTGAAAAGATGTATTGTTACATATTATCCGGATTGTGGACAACACAGGCTCAAACTTTTATTTAATCGTGTTATTCAACCCCTCTTGCATACTACTAGGGTTGAAAAAGAAATTCATATTCTATTCTGCCATGAAGGTGACATAAGAACTGGAGAATCATTTCAGCCTAACCATTTTTCCCTCTTCTTTTCATGCAAGTGCACACAAGAAAGTCTGCTGACATTACACAAGCCACAACGTCAGCAAAAACGTAAGGTGCCTTCCTTATTTTCCAAGAAGGTGGCAAAATTTCCTTCTGGTAATATTCCAATTATTTCTAACTTTTTACTGCATCAGAAAACAGCCATCCAAGTTATTTGAAAAGCCCAATGAAACTTTTTCTTCTGCCAAACAAGTTCCTTCTTATATCACGTTGAAACAACCAATTAAGTCCTCCGCTAGTCAATCTTGTCCAGAAAAGAAGTATCATTCTGTGCATAATTTTGATGTTGCAACTTACCAGGATAAAGTTAAAGGCTTAGATACTTCTGGTGTTCTTCAATTGATTAAAAATGTTTTCAGGCCTGATGAGAATTTTTCCTTTCCTAAGACCGGTGGTAGGAGCTTTAGATATGACTGGCTAAAAAAATATGACTGGCTATGCTACTCCCCATCAAAAGATGGTGCATTTTGTTTGTCATGCGTGCTTTTTGGTCATCGCTTCCCTGGTAAAGCTTCTAAGATTACAAATTTGTTTTCTAAACCGGTTTCACGCTGGAATGATGCTGCATTTACTTTTAAACGCCATGATGAAGGAGAAGTGGGGTTGCATGCCCAAACAAATCCAATTTTATTTGCCTTACGTGCTCAAATGTCAGGGTCTGCGCAACCAATAGAGCTCATGTTAGAAAGAAATCTTAAAAAGGAAATCGATCAGAACAAATGTAAGCTGTCTTCTATTGCTGATTGCATTCTTTTTTGTGGTCGTTTAGGTTTGCCTTTGCGTGGCCACCGTGATGATGCTAAATATCATCCAGAGGTTGGTCAGTATTCTACCGGGGGTGTTGGAAATTTTGTGGAGACACTAAATTTTAAAGTTCGTTCAGGGATGGTGTTTTAAGAGATCACTTAACATCTTGTGGGAAAATAGAAGTTACATCTAGAAGTTACATCTCTAAGACCAGCCAGAATAAAATGATCAAGTGCTTTGGAGAGGTTATTACTGAACAGATTGTCAACGACATTAAGGTTAATAGGTTCTTTTCTATTATAGCTGATGAGGCTGCAGATTCTTCCCATAGAGAGCAAATGGCTCTAATTTTACGTTTTATTGATAAGAATATGGACATAAGAGAGGAGTTCATTGCCTTTCTTCAATGTAAGTGGGGATTGAGTGGAGAGAACCTTGCTAAATTAATTCTAGATAAACTTAAAGACCTTGGCTTGCCAATTGAAGACTGTCGCGGACAAGGTTATGATGGTGCGGGTGCTGTTGCAGGTTGTGTTAAAGGTTTGGCTGCCCAAATTTTGAAGCTCAACTCGAAAGCATTATATACCCACTGTTATAGTCATAGGCTTAATTTGTCAGTTTGTGATTCTTTGTCAGATATTGAGGTTAAGAAAGTACTTAACAAAATAAAAGATGTGACAAATTTTATCAATATTTCTCAAACACGCAATATACCGTTTGAGGAGACTGTACGCAATAGTTTAGAAACGGACTCAAAAAAGACTAGATTGCCAGATGTTTGTAGAACCAGATGGGTAGAACGAGTTAAAGGTTTAGACACTTTCGAAGAATTGTTTGTTCAAATTTTTGACACACTGGATAACATGGCAAAGGTGGCAGTCCCTCTCTCTGCTGATGCATCCTCTTTGCTTGAAGGTCTTTCTGAGTTTCATTTTATCGCCCTCTTGGTTATTACCAGAAATGTTTTTGATCTAACGCTTCCTGTTACTCAGCTTTTGCAAGGAAAGAGTATTGATGTTATGGACGGGATTGAGTTGATCTCTTCTTTGAAAAGCAGTGTTGCACATGTGAGGAATTCTATTGATTCATATCATGATCAATGGTACGACATTGCTTTGACGTTAGCGGCAAAGGTTTGGGTAGTAGAAATTGGAAGGCAAACTACAAGGCCTAACGCTCCTTATCGTTCTATCTCGGAGTATTACAAACGAATCTATACGATTCCTTTAATTGACCATCTTCTCTCGTCTTTGGATGCGCGATTTGACACGGAAAGTGTAAATGTTTATCAAGGACTAAGTATTGTTCCAACAAAAATGTTTTCTCTTATAAAAAATGGGATTGACTGGAGACATAAATTTAAGATTGTTTCAAAATTTTATGTTGCTGATTTACCCAATCAGTTAGGTTTAGATGCAGAGTTGTTATTATGGCAATCCTTCTGGGAACATCGTAAAGGTCCTTATCCATGTAATGTAGCTACAACTTTAAAAGCTATAAATTTTGATGGTTTTCAAAACATAAAGGTCATACTTCAAATATTAGGAACCCTTCCCATAACTTCATGCGAATGTGAACGTTCGATTTCAGCGCTGCGAATTCTTAAAGATTATAAGCGGAGTACTATGGTTGAGGAACGGTTAAATGGTCTTGCTCTAATGAAAATTCATCAGGAAATTCTTCCAGATGTGCAACGCGTAATTGATAAATTTTCTGTTGGCAACACTAGATTTAAATTTAATTGAAATCATGAGAATTTTTTAAATTTTGTCTTTCTACATCTAAATTCTTTTTAGTTTATAGATAAAATTGTTGATGTACCTATGTATAAAGGACATGCATTTAATTCTATGCAATAACCAGATTGCTGGCTTCGGCTCTTTAAAGGGCTGTCCATGTCGGATGATGCTTTGAAATTTGGGGCATCATCCTAGGCATGCTGAAGAGCCCTGATATTGGGCGAAACAGTCTGTCATCATCTGATTAAAGGGAATTCATCTTAGTTTTCGCAATTTTATGATCGCTAAAGTTTTATAAATCGCTGCATAAGATACAATGTATGATGTCATCTATGACGTCATATTTGAGGCCACATATGACGTCATAAATTTTGACTAACATATGAAACATCCTAGATCCGCCCCTGCTTTCGACTCGTTGCTTCGAGCCTTCATCAGAAAAAACTTTTATCTTTCATGTATTAAATGCCTGGATTACAAATTTTCAAACTTAAATATATATACATAAGGCTTGCGCTATACGGACGAATTTTATCCATACGAATTCAAACATCGCAATTTTATTCGACGATACTGCGACGTATAACTTGGAAACTTACATCTCATAAATTAAATTCGACAAAGTTAATTAGATTTGTCGGAGATTGACGCATTATACGACACAAATGTGTGTTAGAAATAGACGATGAATTACAGTCGCATTGAATTAAATTCATTAATTATATAAAAATATTTCAACCGACAATAGACAGCGTTCTATTTCACGGCGGCAATTCAGCAAAAATAGTCATGAAACAATATGGCGGATGCAGATTGTTTTGTTTGTGATGAGCCAACAAAATATCGTTGTATAACTTGTAACCTTCCCATTTGTAATGTATGCTGCGTGACAGAATTAGATGAAGATACATCTGGATGGTTGGCTCAGTGAGCGTGGCTTATTGTAATAAGTGTGCGATCGACAAGCGGGTAAATAAGCCAAAGCATGTTGATCAAGTGAGCTGTACCATAAGTAGATTGAGAAAGAAACAAATCAATTCAGGCCAGGAAAATGCTAATACAAATCACGATGAGATAGAAAGCAGCTCTGATAGTTCTGACAGTTCTTGCAAAACCAAGGAAAAGTTTAAAACGAAGAGACGTGGAAGAAAGGCAGCTTGGAAAGATTGTCATGTTGATGATCTTGTTGATGTAATCGACAATGACAAAACTTCAAGAAAAATTTAATTTTACTAACATTAAAAAGAAAATAGAAACTGAGGTTTACCAAAGTGTTTTGGAAGTTCTGCAAAAAAGACATTCAGAAAAAGATCCAGCTTTCATCTTCCCATTCGATGTCAAACAAATCAGAATAAAATTCAAGTGGTGTGTTGACATTTGTAAGAAGATGTGCCTTACAATACGAACCGCCACCGGCATTAAACGGATCCAGGATGAAAAGGGTTACAGTAAGTGGTTTACTTTGTTATACCCTCTGATAAAGTCTCGTGACTCTTGCCAGCCTTAGCAAGCGATTGAACCCGATGCTGTTATAGACATAGAAAATCAAAATAACTTAGAAAATGATTTTGGAGTTGATGTTGACAGTGGACCATCAAGTGGGTCAAGCCTTCTGTGGCAAAAACCACATGTAAGAAAAAAGAAACTCTGAGTTATTGACTGATGCTATATTAGAGTCAGCTAAAGTTTTAAAAACTGCTGTGGAAAATTATCCCACTAAGGACATAATAAATATCATTTAAGTGGAAATGCAGCAATCCAGAGAGCAAGACAAAAAGTTTATGGAACAAATGGCAATTATTGTTCAACAAAATTTACATCCAGGATCATCTCAAACTTATCATCAAACCCCAATATCTGCTTATGATTGTACAGTTTGACACTTTACAAATACCAATCGGGCTTGAATTGAATTCATTTGATCATCAATCAAATGCAAGTGCACAACAACAAACATCTAGCAATGGGGACATGACATGGAACATGCTTAATAGCCCTCGTACGTATCACCATTTATAACACTGTTTTTGTATTTTAATTTCTTTACAAATACTTTATTTGAACACAAATTGAGAAACATTCTTTTGTTTTTTTTTAATATGACTGTTTTGTTTTTTTGTAAGAAGATATTCTTTTATGTTTAAGAGAAATGTGAGAATGAACAGAACATTACATTTTACTATGGCTGCATGAAGTGTATCTTACAAGTTCTTCAAGTCTAATAATTCACTAAAACATAGAATACTTCTGTTATGACCCTCACCTAAACATTCAGTTATCTCAAATAAAGTGCATAGTGCATAGAATTTCAATGAAAACCAAGTAAATATTCCAATTTAATGCCTTGAGCATTGGCATAACCTGGCCAGCCAGTTTGGTCATGCTAAAAAAATATCATCTGGCTCCCTCCATGTAAATGACTTCTACACAAATAAATATTACTAATGATCTATAATTTATATAGCACTACCTGGTTTCGCCATTGAGCAATGGTAATAAATTGCTATGTTTACGTGCTACTTGTACCAGAGGTTTTTTCTTCCCATAAATATTCAGAAATTGATGAACGAATCTGTTCAGCTTTGTTGCATGTGTCCCTAGTCTTTTCACAAGCCTCATTTTAAGAAAATCTCTTACTACAGCTGCTGATGAGTAGCAGGATCACTGAGTCAAGGTGACTTTCTTTCACAGAAAACTCTACTTTCATTCACATTTCCTATACAAAATCCGCCATCGACTTTTAACTGTCCAAAGGCACACTCAGAGACCATTCGAGCTCTACTTAGTCGATAATTGAAATTGCGTTGCTTTTCCATCAAGACACCTCTTGAATAAGGCTTCATTAGGTAGGTTGAAAATGGAAATGCAGAGTCTCCAACAATTAAAGGAAATACATTGCAAATGCCAACTTTCTTAGCAATGTTTGGAACAATTTCTTGGTTTCCATCTTCTTCCAAAATGATGTTGACTGTAAAATAACAGAATCGTGAGCGTTACCTGGAAACCCTGCACTTGCCCACAAAAGTCTGCTCTTCGCATCAACTAGTGCAATTAAAACAATCGAATAGAAGTTTTTGAAGTTGTGATATTCTTTTTGTGATTGTTGACCTCCTGGTGGGCAACTTATTGAAATATGGCACCCATCTACAGCACACCAGCAGCAAGTGGGAATTGCCACAAATTGTCCATATCTAAAATTTTTTCCTTAAAATCATTTTCTGTTTTGGGAAAATGATTTGAGTCTTGTTCCCAAAGCTCACAAACAATAGCATCACACACTTCTATAACTATTTTTCGTACTGTTTTAACACCAAGTCCTGACATTTCCTCTATGGTGTAAGGGTAGTCACCTCTACCTAAACGATATAGGCAGATAGCTAAACGACATTCCAGTGAAAATGGCTCTTCTATAACAACTTTTTTCTGACGTTTATGCCGAATCGTTTTGACAATAAAGTTAAAAGTACCTTTCGAAACTCTAAAAGTTCTTTTGAATTGTTTATCCGAGTAATTTTCCCAAATGTTACTCCACCATCCAATGTTTCTCGGTAGGAGACGACAACTTCGAATCCTTGGCTTCAGAGTGGTTATTGTTTTAACACTTGCCGTCACATTCATTAATGACAGAGCAGCTATAATTCTATACACCTTCGGTGAAGCAATAATAGAAAGTACCACTTAAAAAATCTTCTTTGTCGCTGATTCAACCAACGTTTGTTAATTGTAAGCAAAGGAGAAATTTGTTTAAGTGATGGAAGAGCCATCTTGTTTTTCAAAATCGTGAGCTGTAGATAGGAGTCTGGGGACGAGAACGGAGTTTAATGAATTAAATTCGACAAAAAATTCGACATATAACTTTGCCTTGAGTTTTGTCGCATTATTGTCGAAGTTAATAAAATTAAATTCGTGTGAATGAAATTCGTCCTTATAGCGCAGGCCTATATTTAC